ACCTAACCTAACCTTAATATACGTCTGCTGACCGAGATATCCAATTTACGGTGGACCACGCCAGCCGCTGTTATACCCCGGCTGATATACACTATCTGAACCCTACGGATCTGGGCTGGAATCTGTATGTTGCTAATTGGATTGGCACCAGGAATGTGTTGCGTTCAGGATCGGACTGGCTTACAATATGTAAAAATGTAAAACGTTTTATAAAGGGGTGTGGACATGACATCAACTTCAATCACATTTCATAGATTAAATTATGAAGATTTGTTATGTTATTTTGTGATTTACTAAACTGATATATTGTTAAGAATTAAGAATTACATGGTCATCACTGTTTATCGTTATCATTTATTATCTCTGATCACAATATTATAATGTTATAATAATAAATACATCAATATATTTTCTAATATATAAAAATCTCGTGTCGCACAGTGTTAGTGGTCACACTCCTCACGTAACGGTTCAACCGATTTTGAGGAATTTTTTTTTGTAAATTTAGTAGGTATGATAATAGGCCGTAAAGTATTTTTCTCCCTCCTAGTGGACCCAGGTCCAACCCGGGGAGGTGCTCAAACGGGGATTTTGAGATTTACGGTGGAAATTTTTGTTTATAAATGTTTGCTATTGGTTATAGGAGAAATAAATTAGTAGAAATTAGTATTTATTATTTGGTTGACATTGGTTAATCTGGAAAATCAGGTGCAAGCGTGCATCAAAACTAATTTTCGCACATTACCTACTTGATATGCTGTTACATAACCTAACCAGGTAGGCTGAGTTGCACCCAAAAAGTGACGAGCAGTCACAATTTTTTTAAATGTTGTAGTTTTATACTTGCAAAGAAACGCCATCAACTGGTAACTATATAAGTGACTAGACTATATTATTGAACTATATATAACTATATTATTTATCGTGACTAGACTTCATCGGCAGGGGCAGCCTATAGCTAATGATCGGTGCTACCTTATTACAGTTATTAGTGAACCGAAAAAAGCCCTATACACCCAAAGCCGTATTTTTAAGCCCCCTAATGAAATATTTGTGTAATTTAAAAAAAAAAGTCTAAATTATCTATTTACAATAATAATCTACAGTAACTTCACAAATATTATTCATCTACAGCCTTGGATTACACCACCTAACTACAAATCAAACATAATACAACAATAATATCAATAATACCTAGATATAGGTCGTCTGTATCAAGTCTTTATAGTAGGTTTTTTCCTATTTCCGGAGTCAAGAAATCAATATTTGACAATACATGTTAAATAAAGAAATTATCTACCTAATTTTGTTGAACACATCTTTGTAAGTAAATGGTAATGATAACGATACACACAAAAAAATCAAGTTTAAAAAAAAATAATAAATATTGTGACCTTCTGATTTAAAACTCGGTTGACCGGCACCTTTCAAAAATTGTAGGGGCAGCCCATCAGGCACCCTAGGCTGCCACCGTAGACATGCCTATGGATTTAATCTATGAATCTTTTATGATGCATATTTTACCCTTTTTTTTTTGAGGGCTTAATTTAAGATTTTAACTGCAGATTTCATAATTTAGTGCATATATATCTGGTTTTTTTTTTTTTTGAATTTTTTTAAATAATTACTATTGTCTTAAAGAAAAAAATGTATGATTGTGTTAGTAGTCAGTACTAAATAATAATATAACAAAAATAATGTTATAATATAACAACGTACATGACTAACACAAAGTTCATTGAATAAATGATAACTTAGAGTGCCAATCGGTTGTTTTTTTAAGATATTTATTAATTTTTGATTTTAGAAATAAAACTATATTTGATTAAGATATTAAATGGTCCACTATAGGTGATTATAGATGACAACTTAATACCTATGTCAACTATTCATATAGTATCAAGTGTAAAAAAAACAACGGGTAAGTGGATGTCCCTATGCTGTACATTAGGTTACAAGTGGGTCATTGTATAATTGGTTGTATTAAACTTGAATTCAATGATATAATATCATTGCATAAGAAATACGATTCTGAGCGGAGACGGTTTGTCAGTCTGGATATTTTATATTGTTATTATCTATACATATAAAATCCAAATACCACTTAGTCACTGATCGCTGTAAGTCAAAAACTACGCAACGTACGAACTTGAAATTTGGACTATAGGTTATCCTCATATTTTCACCGAGCAATAAGAAATGATTTGCCAAAATTCACATTTTAAATATGTGCTCAAACAGGGACATTGGGGTTCACGATGAAAATTGGAAATTTTATTTTTATTTGTTAATAGTTGCCATTGGTTACAGTCTACATTAGAAATTAGTATTTATTTATTATTGGTTGCCATTGGTTATTCGGGCAGATCAGGTACAAGCTTGCATCAAATCGAATTATTGAACATTGCCTACCAGGGTGGCTGAGTTGCACTTACCGCAGCAAGTTACTCCCAAAAAGAGTTGAACAATCATAATTTTTTTAATAGTTGAGATTTTTTAGGGCCTTACGGCACGAAAAGCACGGGTTCAGCTAGTCGATTATAATATAATCATGTGAGTTGAATTAATACTATAATTTTTTATTCGTTTCTATGATGATAAACATGGCGTTACAAATTAAAATGCTATGTGGTTTTTCATAATTTTTCGGTGGTTTTTCCGGGCATTAAATAACTATTGATAAATCGAAAAACGACCCTCTCTAAAGTACCACCTTGATCCAATTTGCTAAAAGATAAGGTACTATATGTTGAAATCGAAGCACTCTTTCTGATAGAAATTTTGTATACAGGATATAAAAAAATAAATAAACACCATTATAAAACCACTAGCTTCCTAGCTCCGCTCAGAATCTAAAATTGGAAACTAAAAATGTCCGTAAACAGCAGAAAACAAGTCAAAATACTTAGAAAAATTATATCGCTTATAGAAATGCTTATATAAACATTTAGTGAAAATGTCATATATCTGTGGTTATTTGTCTTAGATTTACACCAAAAACTGAAATCGATTTGTTTGAAAACCGATCTTGCGTCTTTGCGATTTAATGTTGCTCAGTATTTAAAAATCATTCTTACTTATGGACAATTGAAATTATCAATATTTTTCTATAAATCTGTAAAAAATTGAAAAATGTAATAAGCACAAGGTTCCTCATAAGTTGTTTTAATTGCAACGCCGATAAAAATATTATGCAGTTTTAATATTTAATTCAAAAGTAGGTATAGGTAACCATTTTTACAAATTCACAGATTTTTTATCCCTATACCGCCTAGTGCCCGTTGAATACTGACAAAACCCGTAAAGTACCATTAATATTGTATGGTTCTAACCAAGGCACCGCGCACGGTACATACCGCGACCGTTGTCCGGTGACGACCGTTTTGGTAACCGTTGTAATGGGATTACGTAGCATCATTTATTTGCTCATAAAAACAACCAGGAATGCGACCACACCCAAAAGTGTTTACGACTAGAATACCACTTAAAGTCGTGAGGTCCGAATCATATCAAGGACGACTGTACACGCGCTGCCCGCTTTCAAAGGACGCCGCCTCCATATATCGATGGCTTAGTGCACACTTGTTATAAGTCCATTTTTTCCGAAAAACACTTTTTGATACTAATAGATAGAAAATTGAATTCTCTTTGTTTTTTTACAAGGTCTTTGTATTCTAAAACCAATATTTCATGTGATATTTACTATTTTCACTTATAATGAATGGCAGTTAGCTATGTTTATTTTTGCCCTAATGTATTAAGTCCTCGACTTTTAGTGATAAGTAATTAAATTTTGTACTTGTACAGTTATTTTAATGCACACTTATTATATGTCCGGACTTAACTTAAATATGGTTTGTATTCCCCAATTTATCAACTGCTCACATGTTATAAGTCCGGACATATAACATGAGTGCAGTAAAAATATTTCAGTTGTAGGACTTATTTTATTTGACCATTAACATTTAATATAAAGAAGTGGACTTATAATGATTTGGGTTTGATTACAAACAAGTTAAGTAATATTTTTTTGTTTTTAATAAAATTATTCCCACGTTTTGATGAAAATAAACAAAGAATAATATTATACTCGTGTGTTGTTGTCATAGAGTAATTAGTAATTACTCTATGGTTGTTGTAGCTAATGGTATCAGAATATTATTATCACATAAACAATAAATAAAATATGTTATCAAACTAATCTCCTGTGTTTTAATTGTTCATCCCATTAAATTAAGTTCCTTTGTGTTATTAATATGATTTCAAATAAAATGAATAAATTATTTACTACTTAGGAGTTTTTATAAGAAACAAAAATAAATTCGATTTAAAGTATAGGTATCCACTATGAAAAAAATAAGTTATAAGTTATAAATTATAAGTCCATTTAATATTATAAGTCCATGTCTATCAAAATTTATTTTGTCAAATAGTTATAACTCCACATCATTTTTTAAAAAAAGTCAATAACATAAATAAATAAATGTTACATGAATTAAACTTATATATTAAAAGGAAACTACATATAATTTTTAATTAATACAAATTTAGAAAAAACGATTAGATTAAATATTACTTATATTAAGTGGGTTTAAAAAAAGTTAAAATTTAAAATAGCTCTCCTGCACAATTTCACTTTTGTGACTTATAACTAGTGTGCACTAAGCCATCGATATATAGGGAACAGCGAGACAGCCTGAGTAGATGTATCCAGAGACGTGAACAACACACGACTCGCTTAGCCGCCAGCCATCACACATAATTACAGTTTACACGGAGATTATCATTCTAGAACGAGCTACAATTCTCTCAACCACACAATCAACACGACTGTTCTGCTTATTTTGTCTGGTTTAATAAAATACATTTGATTACTATACTAATTTGACTGTTGATATTTATAAAAGTACATCAGCTTTTGGATCCCTGAAGGGGGCAGCACGTAACACCGTTCATATTTGTTTGTTTGTCCACACTCAGGACGGGGCAAGAAGGATGGTATGAAAGCAGCTCTGTGGTCGGCCGGCAAACCGGTGGCAATCGCATTCGCGTCGCTGGCTGCAATGTCAGGCAAAGCGCTCATGACGGCCATGTGTGGAGGTGGCGGCGGTGGTGGTGGAGGTGATGGTTATACGGGAAGACGTCACCAAGCCGGCCATATACGATCACGAACACCTGGTTCACGGAGCTTCGTACTCATCGGCACCTCACCATGGACGAGAACGGCGGAACGCATCACCCGATCGGACGCGGCTCGCCGCAGCCTCAGCGCGTCAGCGTCGTGCACGCGGCGCCGCGCCGACCGCTCCGGTCACCGACCCGGGCCAACAGCCGGCGAAGAGGAAGCGGACGACGAGGCCAGCGTCGGCCGTCTGTCATTATAATTTTTCGAATTTTATTTAATTTTGTTTTAGCGTATGGTGTTGCAGTACCTACTATATAATTGTATTATTATAAAATTATGTGTTTTTTCATTAATAAATAACACCGTATACTCGTATAAATATTATTATATTACAGGTTTTATCCCCGACCTTGGCCAAACATTAAAATTGCATAATATTATTATCATCATCTACATTCTACAAGAAGAAGGAAAATTTATTTTTGATATGTAATTAATAGGTACGTCTATTTTTAAACAAACCGTATTTTTTAAACACTAAGATTTTTTTTACTTCACTCTTTGTAGACACTTTTTTTTTGTGTATTCTCAAGCATATGATATTTTTTGAATATTTTAGACTTTGAGAAAAGTGACTTTTGGATCAGAATGAATGCTTCTATTTTCATTATTAAGGGTGGGCTTTGGTAGTAAATTAGACTATACTGAATATATTGCTGTATGGTAATTAAAAAAAAATACAAAGATAATACTCTTTCGTATTAAAATATCAAATCTATTATTAAATGCCAAATGGGCATTAAAATATTAACATTTAAATAATGGACCTAGTCAATAGAGCATTAATCATTAAACCCGTGTCTATCAAAATGTGGATTTTCGAAAAAAATTGATTTGACACCTTTTGGTTCTGAGCCAACTACCAGGTAATTAATTCAGACTATCGACGTTAAGAGGTATGCCCTCAGTAAACGCACAAATTTCACACCGGTTGAGGACTGAAAGCTAGACACACAATTACCGGTTTCGTTATGCATTTATCCTTTTTGCACGCACAAAAGAACAGGGCATGCGACGGGTCATGTATCCAATCCGCCATACACAGATGCCCTATAACTCATGGATTTGCATACAACGATGATTGATAGCTAGACATTCGATTACAATTATTCGCAATTCATAATTTCTTATACAGTCAACAAAACAGAACCGGGCATACAGCGGGGCACGGTATTACACCAGACGAGGAGAGACCGCTAGACACTCAGTCACAGTTTTCGGTACGGTTTAATTTCTTTTCGAATTTCCCGTGAAACGATTTTCACTAGACTACCTGGAAGGCGCCGGAGGCGACTTCCAGTACGCCCGGAATCGAGGCACACGGGCAGCTAGTAATATAATAATTTCATTATTCTTTATTATTATTAAATAATGATTTCACGGCAACCAATATTTATTATTATAATAATAGCTTTAAAACCCATGGCAACCATTTATAAACAAAAATATCCACCATAAATCTCAACATTTCTGTTTGAGCACCTCCACGGAATGAGCCTATATCGGGTCCGATTATGAATCTAAAACATTCTAGGGCCCACTAAAGCACACACAAAAAAAAAATATATTGTTAAATAAAATTGTTGTGTACACAACCATAATCATAATTAATAATCACATAGTAGGTAGCATAGATTTAATATTATAGGGACATACGCAACCTTTCGACCATATAAAAACAATTATAATAATTATAATTATTATAATTATCTAACTATTTCTCATTTATAAATTGGATCAAAGAGGAGTTTTTTTTAATGAAATTTTTTTGTTTTTAAAAAACATCAAACAATTAGTTAATATAATGCCGTGAATAATGTAAACGAAAATAAATAACAACTGTTAACAAAATATAAAATTGAAGCTTTCATAAATGTTATAAACAATATATTACACAATATCAAGGCCAGATTAAGGGGGGGGTCTAGTTGGGGAGGAAGCTCCGGAGCTCTCTCAAGTACCAAAATGAAAGGGGCCCAAACAATTTTAAGCCGATACACATTTTTTAGTGATTTAAAAAAAAAGTTTTTCTATATTTTAAAAACTTTTTTTTATCGATAATAACAACTAAATAGTAAATAGGTACCTACAAAAGTACTATGGTAGAAAAGACGCATTTTACTGTTATTTAATATTTTCATTTTCATCAATAATATCATCAATAGTTAATAATGTTATTTATGTACGGAGAGAGTTTTTTCTAAATTAACTAGAGTAAAAAAAAGTATATGACCACTCAAACCCATAAGAAAACTTAGACGACATACTAATGATTTTATATTCTGAGAATGATTTGTTAAAATAATTTATTAGATATAAATGAAGTACTAAACTAGTTGGCTTCAAGTAGTGAAGCAAGAAAAAAAAAACTATTTGATAAAATAGTTTTTGTAAGTGAATTCAAATGAGTATACTGTTAATACATTTAAAAGTTATAATGAAAATTTGAATTTAAATTAATGAAATATGAAGTATTAACTTTTATTATACTACAATCAAATGAGTAGGTTTATAGACATAAATTACATTTACCTATTAATTTTATAATTATATAATGCAATTTGTGAAATAGTTTGAAAAATAGCGTAGCGAGCGGCTTTGTAAAGCATGTTTTGTCAAAAGGGCCCATATGAAATTTCAACCCAATAGATTCTTAATCTGGCCTTTCACAATATTACTACATACTATTTCTAAATATTAGATTTTATAAGATCTGTACAATATTTATTTATTTATTGAATATAATACGGGACAAGCCCAATGTAAATGTACGTTAACAAAGAAACAAGAACATTTTTTAGAAATTAAACATAGAGTGATACAGTATAGTATAGGTAGACATAAATTTATAATTCACTTATTATTTATTTATTTTATTTACGCCAAACAGCAATTACAAAAAGTATATAAACAATAACAGATGAGTAACAATATTACAATATACAGCTTAAAATTAGAATAGTTTACAAAACGCATTATTAAAATAGTAGTATACAGACAGTTGTGCTGGGGCTATTATAGTGCTATACACAGGCACACGGCATTTTCTTACGCTTTTCGTTCGCTGTGTATTCCGTCAAACTAAATATTCATCGCTTATCAAATCGATTGTTTTTTTTTTATTAAAATAGTCAACTACATAATCATTAGAGAGCGGATTTGTATGCATTTGAATATTTATTCTGGTCGATCGTATGATAATATACTATATTATACTAAGTGAGCACAGAATTTGTTTCATGACATAGCGTTTCAAAAAGAAACTTTTTTAGTGCATATTTCGACATTTATCTACTTTACGGGCTTATTTTACAATATTAATTGCATATTTCATATTTTAGTGCATATTTCGATGTTTTACTTTTTTTTTTGGACATTTATGAAATATATACTATAGTAATATAAGAAAAAAATATTATATAGTTTCGATTAATATCAAAATAAATGAATAGGTATCTTATGTAGGTATAAAATATAAATAAATAGGTTTTCTCAAATAGTCTTATATTAATTGATTCCCATTTTTTTCATATAAATTAACACTACCTACAAAATTATGAAAGTAAAGAAAAATACATTCTTTCGCTCCGCTCAGAACATAAAATTAAGAAAAGTATTTATAGTGAGGTTCCATCATTTTAAACATATTGTTTGAATTAAATGTTCAATAAACACATTTTTTTATGCATATTTTTTACTTTTCATGCAAATTTTAACATTTAAGTTCATATATTTATGCATATTTAAGATTTTTTAGAGCATATTTAATTGGTTTTTAATACATATAAATCCGTGCCCTAATAATCATGGTGTTTGATCCAGACCGTTTAAATAGGTAGTAATTTTTCAATTGTACAATGACAATCGTTATTACCCGAAGAGCCCATTTTTTTTATAATAGGTTTTTAATATTAACTTAGAGCTATAATACAGACGCACTTCACACTTGTATTCCGTGGTTCTATAGTGAAAATAACATTAAAGATTAAACAGTGTCACGTAGGCATTATGAAATATGCTTACAAACTGTGCAATTATATGTGCCTCCTCCCTCCTATGGCGCTTTGCCTATTTCACTTTAATAGGCTCCCGTAAGCAGTTTCGTTTCGGCTAGCACGGTGTAAGCTGTAAAGTATAAATAAAGTAGACAAGTAGTCAGTGGCTTAACTGGATAAAAATCTAGGGGGGGGGGAAATTAACCCGTAGTCATAATCGCTATTCTAAGATAATAACGTGTTCACGAATCACGGATAATAATAGTCACGAATAATGCGATTATTGGGATAACAGTAACACTGACAATACGTCAACATAATATTATTCAACAAGAGAAACCTAAAATAAATATAAACTTTTATAAAGTTACAAAATATTGTTTAATGCATATAGATATGTGTGTCTGTGTATAAGAATGTAGACAATAATTAAAATGCAAAAAAACCATTAAAATATAAAAAGAAATGTGGAGCTCTAAAATGATACACAAGGGTTTTTTATTACTTTATGTAAATTATAAGGGTTTAAATTGAATAATACACTTTTAAATTTTGTACTGAACACAATTTTTTTACCACACAAAGTGTGTAGGCAGTACCTACGACACACAACAATTTTAGGGACTGGCCCGCATGGCGTTTACTGATTAATGTTTAAATTCCAATAACACACAAAAGTATACAAAAATATAAAATATTATTACTTCTACTATTATTACTGTATTAGGACAATATATGAATATCCGAGAGCTCAAATTAAAAGGTATTTGTATTTTAGTTGTTAACAGTTAACTGTTCAAGTGTTATTTAGTAGTTGTAGTCCATATCGATTTTTAAAATTTTAGGAAGTTCAAAATCGAAGCATTATTTCGACTACTTATCGTGTACACAGACACAAAAAAAATAATTTAAAAAAAACACACATCATTGTAAAATCAATACATTCATCGTTCCACTCAGAATCTAAAAACACAAATTACACTTGGATTTTAGTACTCGTATAGTCGTATTTTACACTGTTTTAAACATATTATGTTTTATTCGTTTTTAAACAATGAACAAAACGTTTAAAGCAAATGTTTTAAACATAACAACAATACATGTATAGGCATGTATCATAATAGGTGTGTTACCGCCACCAGCATCAACTGGTTACTCTACAAGCAAAACAGGCGATTGGAAAATTTGCCGCACATAAAAAAAA